TTGGAAGGGAGACAATCAATGCCCGAATGTTCAGAATGGAAAGGACAAGCCGCACAAGCGTCCTGATCGTGGCCCTCCTACCACGTCCAGTGGAGGAAATGCCGTCCATTTCACCTTTGCCGTGACCGCAACGAAGAAGACGAAGGTGACAGAAGTTCACCGCAATACGACATGCCCCAAGTGCCGTTGGCCCTCTTTCATCCTCTTTCTCAGCTGCACGGTTTTGTGCACAGTGCGGGCACGCCCTTCATCCAGATGAACATATGCCTGAAGGTAAGAGAGGCTGGACGTGAGGAAGAAGATGAATCCGAACAGCTACCAAGCTCTGAGAGCAGCAAGCCTGAAGAGAAGCCAAAGATGTACTACATGAGGAAGAGTTTGTTGGGAGTGGCAGCTGGGTATGAAGAAAGGGGTTATCGAGAGCGAGGAGGACGTGAGAGAGAGAAGATCAAGGCCACTCCAGAAGAAGTCCTTGCTGCTTTGCCCAAGATGACACGTGATGAGAAGAAGAAGTTTCAGGCCTTGATGAAGGAAGAACATGAAGCCGCATATGAGAGACTCCATCGAAGCCACCTCCTACCACAATATGAATCCAGTGAAGAAGAACAAGATCCATGGAGCATGGGAACTATATGGAGGGGGTGCGGAACATTCCGACAGGAGCTTTATGACAAGCAGATGACTCGTTCCGGTTTGAGGGCCACTGCTTGCGCTCCCACTCCGAAAGAACCCTTACTCTCAAAGGGCAGGCCATACATATAGTATAGTTCAAATATAACATACAATATACAAGGTGAGACCCGGTCAGAGCTCTTGTTGCCTTGCTGTGACCAGCCCCTTTGCTTCTTCCTTTCATTCATCTTGTCCTTCGCTCTCCATCCGGCGGCGTAGTCTTCATTGACTTCATCTTCATGGTCCTCATAGCCCTCATCATCCTCATCCAGCTCCTCCTCAGTGGCTCCAAGGTGCTCTTCATCTTCATGTGCTTCTTCGCCTTCCACAAAAAACGTCTTGAGTCTGCCCTTCTTCTTCTTCTTCTTCTTCTTCAAACTCCAGATCTTCACCATCTTCATTGGTGTCCGCAACATAGGATCTTCTGAACGGCTTCTTGTGAGAAGGCTTCTTCTGATCTCCGTCTGAACGAGGTTTGAACACCTTGGTGTGCTTCTGAGGTGTTGGTACCCTGCGCTCATCTTCATGGGTGTTGGCACATCTGCGACGAAGGGCACGCTCGACAGCCACAGGGTCGTAGGTACCACCTGCGGAAAATAAGACGCCCAATCGCTCCCTCCGGCTGAGAGAACACAGGTTGAGGAGTCTCTGACCCCGTGCACTGTTGCTGATCTGTGATTCGGGGTCCACTCGATGGTACTGAGCCTTGAGCCGCTTCATCTGCCCGATGTATGCTGCCACTGGTTGTCCTGGGAGGCGTCTGTAGGATCCATACTCTCGCTCAGCCCTTTCGAACATCTCCTCTTCACTTTCCCCGAAGGCTTCGTCCAACAAACGCCATACCAGCAACAGGCCTCCAGGCCTAGTGAACTCCGAGATCGGTGACTGGTCGAGGCAATCTCTGGCTTCTTCGTTGAGAGGTACACCAACATAGCCAGCTCAGCTCTTGTTCTTCAAGTCTATAAAGCTCTTGTTGAGCCTCGACTGCCTTCTTCCACTTTGTATACCGGTATCGTTCACCAGCGAATTCCTCAATCTTCACAGTGACACTACCTAGACTGCTCTTCGGTCGTTCCATCTGGCGCTGAACCCGCTCACTGGCGAAGAGGCTCCAGAAGTATCAGCTACCCTTCCATGTGCTCTGTGTGGCCCATACGAGGTGGGTGGTCCTCGTGGGCCTCCTGGCCATGTCCCTTGATGCCACGGATCTTGCACTGACTAGCCAAGGGTCACCGGCTGGTGGTCCCCCGCAACCCGCACAATCAAACCCACTCGAGGATTGATCGGCCATGCTCCCTACGCAGCAGGCAGCCTAAGGTCAACCAAACCCCAAAACTCAACCGACCAACCAATCTCCCAACTACCGCGGATTTAACCCCTCGGGCTCCGCTACCAATGTTGAACCAATCGAACTCGCTATCACCAACCAAGATGCAAACAGAGCAAAACCGAATGTGTAAGGGGGTTAGCAAAAGCAAAGCGCTAGCGAAGCGGCGGATGCAAAAGCTTCTCAGCGTGAGCTTGATGACGTCATCTGCGGTTCACATAGGCTAAGCTCGGTACGACATGTCTGGGCAATGCACACGCGAAACACACGAAAACTCACACCCGTTTGGCACTTTTGGAGCCAGTCCAGTGGATGTTCGAGAAAAATGAGAAGACTGGCAAGGATGCCAACGACATTATCAGCCAGTTCTCCAAACTGAGCTCCTTCGATTCATTTGCCAGAAAGCTGGTGGCTTTGATGAAAGGCTCCAAGATAAAGAAGCAAGGTGCCACTGACCTCTTTGGGGTAGCCAAGAAGCAAGCCGAGGCCTCTGGGGATGGGGTAATCCATCATTTCACTTTTGGGGAGTGGGGTGTCTGGGCGTCTGGCTACAAGACATTTCATTTTACTCACAACCAATTGGCATGGCCTGGGATATAATACTATACAGTACAGTAAAAAAATATAACATGCTGCATGCGGCATGGTGGTGTTGGTGTCCGATGTAATTTTACCGTGGCGGACCATACAGTCATACAGTGGAAAGGGACGCTAGCCGCTAGCCAGATTGTCAGCTTCATGAGTGTTGCCTGTGTGTTGGCACTCAAGGGGGAAGGAGCAGCGTCGGCGGAGGATCTGGCAAGTGCCAGGAAGGTGTCTCGGTTCATTAGTCATACCTTTGGCATGTCGGTGAAAGATCTTCCAGCCGCGTCGAGAACGAGGTTGGAAGAGCTTACAGCCACTTGAATGAAGGAGTGTGGGCGAACGGGGATGGGGGCACGGCGTTTTGCATATTGTTTTTGCAGGCGCTTTGTTAGAAACCTTGGTCTTGTCATAAATTCTCCCTGGGTTAGAAAAATACTCAGGTGCTGCTGCTGCTGCCAAAGCTAACCCTAAAGGTAAGGAAGTAGAGAGTGGACTCTCGCGGGACACTCTGGTAGGACACTCTTGTAGGGCACTCTTGTAAGACAGCCTTGTGGGACATCCTTGCAGGACACTCTTGCGGGACACTCTTGTAGGACACTTTTGTTGTGAGGCGCTCTTGTAAGACACTCTTGCAGGACACTGTCGTGGGACACCCTCGTGGGACACTCTTGTGGGACACTCTCGTATGACAGTCTTGCGGGGCACTCTTGCGGAGCACTCTTGTAGGACACTCTTGCGAAACTCTCCTGTAGGACATTCTTGTCGGACTCCCTTGTGGGAAACTCTTGTCGGACACTCTTGCTCGACACTCTTGCGGGACACTCTTGTATGACACTCACTCTTGCGGAACACTCTTGTAGGACTCTTCCAAAACACTCTTCTGGGACACTCTTGCGTGTGTGTCGCTCTTGCGCGACACTCTCGTAGGACACTCTTGTAGGACATTCTTGTGGGAAACTCTTGCGGGCCGGGTCACTCTTGTGGGACACTCTCATCTAGGACATTCTTGTGTGACACTCTCGTAGGACACTCTTGTGGGACAATCTTGTATGTCACTCTTGTGGCACACTCTCTCGTAGGACACTCTTGTGGGGCACTCTTGTTTGTTACTCTTGTAGGACACTCTTGTGGGACATGCTTGCGGCGCACTCTTGTAGGACGTTCTTGTGGGACACTTTTGTAGGACTCTGTAGGACACTCTTGTGGGCCACTACTAAAGTCTCCAAGTCAACCGTCACGGCTCCAGCACGAGACTTCCTCCAAAAGTCACACGTCAAGTCTGCAAAACGAGCATTTCCCACGAGATTTCTTCCAAGCGAGCGTTTCGCGCGAGACTTCCTGAAAAACTCGCGCTTGAAGTCTACAAAGCGAGCGGTTCGTACGAGACTTCCTCCAAAAGTCACACGTCAAGTCTCCAAACAAGCGTTTTTTGTACGAGACTTCCTCCAAAAGTCACGCGTCAAATCTCCAAAACGAGCGTTTCGTACGAGATTTCCTCCAAAAGTCAAGTCTCGAAAACGAGCATTTCGTTCGAGACTTCCTCCAAAAGTCGCGCGTCAAGTCTTCAAAACGAGCGTTTCGTTCGAAGACTTCCTCCAAAAGTCCAGCGTTTCGTACAAGATTTCCTCCCAAAGTCGCACGTCAAGCCTCCAATACAAGCGTTTCATACGAGACTTCCTCCAAACGTCAAGTCTCCAAAACGAGCATTTCGTTCGAGACTTCCTCGAAAAGTCGCGCGTCAAGTCTTCAAAGCGAGCGTTTCGTACAAAGACTTCATCCAAAAGTCGCGCGTCAAGTCTCCAAAACGAGTGTTTCGTACGAAGACTTCCTCCGAACGAGCATGTCGCACGAGACTTCCTCCAAAAGTCAAGCGGGAAGCTCCAGCGGAGCGCGCGCATCAAGCAGCGCTGCCAAGCAGTTCGCGCTTCCAGTCCCTCCAAACGACACCCGCTCACACGCCAATCCCAATGTCACAGCGACATTCACCTCCATCACACCTTGCAACCTCACGATTCCCTGCGCCTGCCACGAGAATTTGCACGTCCACACGTCTAACACGCACAAAGTACTGCGCGGCCGCCTGCCACGAAATGTCACCTCCGCCACACCTCGCAACCTCACGATTCCCTGCGCCTGCCACGAAAATCGTACTTTTCAAAATCTGCACAAAGTACTGCGCCTGCCACGAAAAGTGACAATATCACGTCACGTTCAACAAAACTTGCACCTCACCGACACGTTCAGAGCACGCGCCCAGCAACCCAAATCATCATTTTAGCTGAGACTTGTCACGAAAACACAGCATCGAAGCAACAGCCTGAAATGCAAATTAAAATGGCACAACCACATCCAACACCCCCCAAATACCACCCTCCAAACACCAATCCCAATGTGACTACGTAGAAAACTGCGGATCTCACCAAACGCTGTGCCTGCGCAGCGAATTCATCCTGAATTCATCCTCTCCGGCATCCAACGTCCCAACCACGGTACACGCGACGAATTTGACGATCACCTGGCATCGACAAACTTCTCCAGAAGCTTCGCCCAATGGAGACAAATTACTACCCCGGCGGGCCCACGACGACGACAAATGACGAGTCAGAGCACGCAAGGCGAACACAGTCCAACCCCCACAACCCCCACAACCCTTCGCTACGCACTCGGGAAAAACTGTAAAACATAGTTTTCTATCCGTTCCCGGCGTACCCCCGCCGGGACCCATGGCGCCTCTCCACAGCGCAAAGCCCTTGCGCCTTTCATCACGTTGCATGGGAATCAGCTGCGTCAAGAAGGAACCTTCTTGGATGGCAATCCCTGGCGGGAAAGAATTAGCTAAGCAAACATGCACGCGAACGGATGGAAATTGAGAAAATGTGGTCATATCCGCAACATCAATCGCACTGGCCTAGTTGATTCCAGTGGCTGAAGCCATACTCGGCCGCCAGTTTCATCAAGCTATCCACCAGTGACCGTGACCTTTTCCTGGACAACCGGCTTCCCATGCCAAGCATCGGCGCCACAATTGGCTCGGAGAAAAGTTTGACCATAAGTTCTGAAGAACTCAGTTGTGGGAAATCCTTTGGGATGACCTCCAACTGCTCCAACCCAAAGGCCTTTTGCACCAGAGGGTGGAACTGCAGTTTTCCAATGGAAACATCTTCCAATCGTCTTGCCTTTCTGAACATTGGATGACTCAGCACACTCATCTCCAAATCGTGCATTGTCAGGACAGGTTGGCTCGCAAGACTTGTTCTGATGGCAGTTTCCACCAGCAAAAGGGTTTTAACATATCCAGCCAGAATCTTGCCAACAAAGCGGTCCTTGAAAAGTTGATCCTCAGCCAAGCAGCCAGTCAGTCATCGGAACTCCCTATTACTACGCTGGGCGCACCCCTGATATTAACAAAATATAAAGTTGACATAGGCTAAGTAACCTCCCATATTAATCAAGCCCAGCTCGAGCCCAACAATTGTAGGACCGGAAAACGCCACATGTTAGCAATTATTTCACCAGACACAGGAGCGGACAATTGGTGGTTGGTGGTGGTTGGTTGGTAGTTGGTATTGCTTGGTGGTTGGTGGTCGTTTGTTGGTGGTTGGTTGGACACGCAGCGACCCCAGCGCTTACATCCAACCCCTTGCAGAGCACCAAGTCCCGCACCTGCCACGCAAAAGACTCTGGCAGAGCGGCGGAGCTTAAGGGACGCCAGGGGCCAGGGCGTACATCTGACCCCTGGCACACAGCACCATGTCCCGCGCCTGCCACGCAAAAGCCACCAGCAAAGCGCCAAAGCCCAAGGGACATTTTGCGCCTTTCTTCCTTCTCAGTCATCTCTTCAGGGTGTGGGTGAGAGTGAGAGTGAGTGTGAGTGTAAGTGACGTGGGTGAGAGTGAAGGTGGGTGTTAGTGTGTGTGGGTGTGAGTGTGGGTGTGAGTGTGAGTGCGAGTGTGAGTGAGAGTGGGAGAGTGAGTGTGAGTGCGAGTGTGAGTGAAAGTGAGAGTGGGAGTGTGAGTGAAAGTGGGAGAGTGAGAGAGTGAGCATCTGAGAGCACAAAGTACCGCGCCTGCCGCGTAATCTACACTTCGAGGCTCACCAAGCAACTGCCACGAAATCTGCACTTCGAGGTTCACCGTGCGCTGTGCCTGCCACGAAATCTGCACTTTGAGGTTCACAAAGTGATGTGCCTGCCACGAAATTTGCATGTCGAGGTTCACAAAGTGCTGTGCCCGCCACGAAATTTGCACCTCGAGGCTCACCAAGTGCTGCACCTGCCACGAAATTATCTGCACTTCGAGGTTCACCAAGCGCTGCGCCTGCCACGAAAGTATCTGCACTTCAAGGTTCACCAAGTGCTGTGCCTGCCGCGAAATCTGCAGTTCGAGGTTCACCAAGTCCTGCGCCTGTTACGAAATCTGCGCTTCGAGGTTCACAAAGTGCTGCACCCCTGCCACGACAACTGCATTTCGAAGTAAAACAGCTCCGATCCCTTGCACCTCTGTCACGAAAAGTCGACTTTGAAGCACCAAAGCACGAGGTTTCCCCTGCGCCTGCCACGAAAAGTGACCACCATGTGCGAAAATGCGCATGGCACCACAACGAGAGCGCAGTCGTTAGAAGCACCCGCCGCGGACACCCAGATTCAGCGAGCCTGCGCAGTCGAAATGCACTTCGAGGATTTCGAGAGGCATGAACCCTGGGCATCGGCTATTGATTCTAATCAATAAGCTCAAAAATATTGAGTTTGCAAAGAGTAAGTCAATTACTTTTATTGATTTGGAAGGCTACATTTTTCAAAAGAGAAACCACATTGAAAATCAATAAATTTTGTATGCTTTTCCATCTATAAAATCAATAACAAAATCAATTACAGAATCAATAAAGATTCATGTCTTTTTCGTGCAATCTCTTCGAGATATTTCAAGTGAAACTTATCTTGGTCTTCTGCCAAAGCGTTTCCAATTCAATCTGTTGTCAAAGTGTTCCCACCCAACCAAGTACAAGACTGAATAACACGTTAAAAAACAACTTATTTGGGTTCTAATTTAGTTTTAATTCCAATCTGTATGTTGATTTTAATTCAATTCTAACTGAACTTCAACTCAATTCTAATGTAGTTTCCTGTAAATGTCATTGTATTTGTATGATAATTTTCATTGAATCCGAATTCTAAATCAAATTTTGCTTAATTCTAACCGAGCTGTGGGCTGAACAATTCCAACTCAATTCTACTTTAATTCCAATTTCACTGATGAAATTTTGATTCAACCTTAGTTAAAACCAATTCAAGCCAAATTTGAATATAGCCTATTTTAATCTATCCCGAAGTTAGTTCTAATTCAATTCTTTGCTAATTCAAATCTATATACCCTGAGCATCGGCTATTGATTCTCATCAGCTAGTTCCAAAACTTATTGATATTGATTTTAAATCATATCAAATTTAACTGATTCTGCAACATCCAAAATCATATTCAAGTTGACCTTCAAAATCATTTCAACAATGTCTATTTTGCATGCTCAAAATTAATTCAGAAAACAGCCAGCAGAAGCATAGCCAGGGCCCCATTTTCCAGCAGCTGGCTTCAAGGTTGAGGCTCCCTCTTCTTGGTTGGCTGCATCTCCTGATGCCTTTTGCACCTTCTCTGCCAAACTGAGTTTCCCCAGTTTGTTGATTTTTTTCTTCAACATGCTTGCTTTTATGCTTTTGTTTGAACCACTTCCTTTCCCTTTTGCCATGGCATTTGTTCACTTTCCCTTTCGCCAATGGATTTTTCAAACGACATCTTATTTGCACTTCGGTTTCCCTTTTGGCAAGGCTCTTTTTCATGATATATGTTCCTCACATTTGGGGCCTTGGCTGGCCACACCACAGCTACACCTTAAGCCAAAAGTTCACACAATTACGAAGAAGGAGTTCAACCCCTTGCTGAAAAACCCTTTGCTGAAAGGGTAATTGAAGCCCATGGAAAAGGAAGAGGAAAAGGAACAGAAAAAGGAAAAAAGGAAAAGGAAAAAGGAAGAAAGGAAAAGGAACAAGAAAAGGACAAAGAAACAGAAAAGGAAGAGGAAAATGAAAAGCAAGAGGAAAAGGAAAAGGAAGAGAAAGAGGCATAGGGAAAGGACAAGGAAGAGGAAAAGGAAAAGGACAAGGAAAAGGAAGAGACAGAGGCGAAAAGTTAGAGGAAAAGGAAAAGGAAGATGACAAGGACAAGGAAGAGGAAACAAAAAGGAAAAGGAAGAGGACAAGGAAACGGAATAAAACAAGGAAAGAGGCACAGGAAAAGGAAAATCTAATGACTAAAACTGTGGACAAAAGTTTTGGTGAGGAGACGTGAAGAAACACAATCTAATGACTAAAACTGTGGACATAATTTTTGGGTGAGAGAAAGTAAACAAAATCTAATGACCAAAACTGTGGGCAAACTTTTTGGGGGTGATAGAAATTAAGGAAACAACTTCTAATGACTAAAGCTGTGGACAATAAAACTTGGTGAGGGAAGTTAAGGGAAGAAACTTGAATGACTAAAACTACTGTGGACAAAATATTGGGTGAAAAAAAGGAAACAAAATCAAATGACTAAAGTTCTTGGCTTCTTTTAATTAATATAACTAAAATTTTACAAAAAATGCAATCTGATCAAATTTGATCAAAACCATGGTTTTCATCAGATCAGGTTTGATCAGCTTGCATGGCTGTAAACCTGTAATGTTGAGTTAAACATAATGACCAGAACTTTAGCCATGGGAAGTTGATTCCCTTTTTTTGACCCAATATATTTTGTCCATAGTTTTAGTCATTCAAGTTTCTTCCCTTAACTTCCCTCACCAAGTTTTATTGTCCACAGCTTTAGTCATTAGAAGTTGCTTCCTTAATTTCTATCACCCCCAAAAATTTTGCCCACAGTTTTGGTCATTAGATTTTGTTTACTTTCTCTCGCCAAAAAATTTTGTCCACAGTTTTAGTCATTAGATTTTGTTGCCTTACGTTCTTTCACCCCAAACAGTTTTGGCAACAGTTTTAGTCATTAGATTTTGTTTCCTCACGTCTCCTCACCAAAATTTTTGTCCACAGTTTTAGTCATTAGATTTTGTCGCCTTACTTTCTTTCACCCCAAAAAATTTTGGCAACAGTTTTAGTCATTAGATTTTGTTTCCTCAACTTCCTCACCAAAAAAATGTGTCCACAGTTTTAGTCATTAGATTTTGTTTCCTCAACCCTCCTCACCAAAATATCTTGTCCACAGTTTTAGTCATTAGATTTTGTTTCCTCACTTTCTTTCACTCCAAAAGAATCATTGCCACGAAAAGTCACCACCACATCGCACCACAACGAGAGCGCAGTCGCGACAAGCACACGCTCCAGCCACCCAGATTCTGCGAGCCTGCGCAGTCGAAATGCGCATGGACGATGTCGAGAGGCATGAATGCACCCTGTAAATAGCAGCGAACTAGCCGTTCACGCCTGCGCGCTTCAGCGATCTAAGCATCAGCTGCTTTTCACTTCCCGTATATAAGAACCCCTCAGTGTGCCCACACTGTTTGGGGAAAAAGCCTCCACCCCAAACAAAAAAGGCAAATCGAAAAAGCAAAAAAAATGAAAAAGCAACAGCAAAAAAAGCAAATCCAAAAAGCGAAAGCCATTTTCCGCTTTTATTTGTTTTTTGTGTATTTTTTCGATTTTGCTTTTTCAATGTGTTTTGTTCGTTTTTGTGTTTTTTTTTGCTTGTTGCTTTTTCATTTGCTTGTGGCCGGCGGCGGGTGCTTCTAGCGACTGCGCTCTCGTTGTGGCGCCGTGCGCAGTTTGGTACATGGGTGTCACTTTCGTGGCAGGCACAGGGGAAACTTCGTGTTTTGGTGCTTCAAAGTCGACTTTTCGTGACAGGTGCAAGGGATCGGAGCATTTACTTCGAAATGCAGTTTTCGTGGCAGGTGCAGCACTTCGGACATGCTGGTGATCGTCAAGGAGCTCAGATTTCGTGACAGGTGCAATGAATTGTGACGTGGCTCGTTTCCAAATTTCGTCACAGGCACAGCACTCTGTGACGCGCAGATTTCCTGGCAGGTGCAGCACTTTGTGAACCTCGAAGTGCAGATTTCGTGGCAGGTGCAGCACTTTGTGAACCTCGAAGTGCAGATTTCGTGGCAGGCAGCACTTGGTGAACCTCGAAGAGCAGATTTTGTGGCAGGCGCAGCACTTGGTGAACCTTGACGCGCAGATTTCGTGACAGGTACAGCACTTTGTGCGCAGATTTCGTGGCAGGCACAGCACTTGGTGAACATCGAAGTGCAGATTTCGTGGCAGGCACAGCACTTGGTGGACCTGGAAGTGCAGATTTCGTGACAGGCACAGCGCATGGTGAACCTCGAAGTGCAGATTTCGTGGCAGGCACAGCGCTTGGTGAACCTCGAAGTGCAAATTTCGTGGCACGCGCAGTACTTTGTGCTCTCAGTTGCTCACCCTCGCACTCTCCCACTCTCAGCCTCCCAATTTCACTCACACTCACACTCCCTCTCCCACTCTCACTCCTACTCTCACACTCACTCTCACTCACACTCGCACTCCCTCACCCTCACACACTCACTCACTCACTCACTCTTCCACTCCCACTGACAGTCACACTCCCACTCGCAGACTCTCACACTCGCACTGAAACTCACACGCACACTCACTCGCCCACACCCTCACTCTCACACTCACTCTTACTCTCACTCACACTCGCACTCACTCACTCTCACCCAGACTCACTCGCACCCACCTTCACTCTCACTCACACTCACTCACACCCACACTCACATTCACTCTCATTCACTCACTCTCACTCACTCTCACTCTCACTCTGACACTCATTCACTCTCCCACACTCACTCTCACACTCACCCACACTCTCACTCACACTCACTCTCACTCACACGCGCACTCACACTCACTCTCCCACTCTCACTCACACTCACACTCCCTCTCACCCACGCTCACTCACACCCACCTTCACTTCATCACCACCATCACCTCTCTGCACCCCAATGCGTCTAGATCTCTAGACCTTCTGCTTACAGACCTCACACACACACACTGTTTGGGGTCTCTTGCCGGGATAATTTTTGCGTTTGCTTTTTGTGGTTGCTTTGTTTCGCTTTTTTGGGGGGGGGGCAAAACCATCAGAGATAGCCTAAGCGGAAACGTAACTAAGTAACCACGAGAAGAAGGTAAAAATGGGATAAAATGGGTGCTTTTTCAAGCCCGAATCTGGTGACGGAGAACAATAGAGACGTGGGATACCTTGGAGTCGGTGAGGCCAAACTTGAGGCCAAAGGGGTGAACGAAAGCTAGCCACTGCAAAGCAAGAGCAACTCCAGCTAGCTGCTGAGGCTAGCTTTCGTGATCACGGGGTGAAGGAAGCAATGGTATGGGGTGGGGCCTTGCATATTCTGGGGTGGCAGGCAGGGGAATAGGCATAAGAAGAGTCATTGTAATTACCATAGAGTGTGGCGGCAGCAAAGCACTAAGCAATAGCAGCAAACCACCGAGCAGCAGCAGCAGAAGCAGACCACCAAGCAGCAACAGCAGCAGCAGCAGACCACCAATCAGAAGCAGCAGTAGCAAACCACCAACCAGCAGCCGCAGCAACAAACAAACAAACAAACAAGCAGCAGAAGCAGCATTAAAGCAGCAAATGGTTTGGTGTAAGCCAAACGGTGGTCGGTGCAAACCGTGGTTTGGTGTAAACCGTGGTTGGTGCAAACCGTGGTTTGGTGTAAACGGTGGTTGGTGGAAACTGTGGTTTGGTGTAAGCGGTGGTTGGTGCAAACCCTGGTTTGGCGTCAGCCGTGGTTGGTGCAAGCCGTGGTTTGGTGTAAACGGTGGTTGGTGTTAAGCGCGGTTTGTTGTAAACGGTGGGTGGGGCAACCCGTGGTATCGTGTAAACGGCAGTTGGTGTAAAGTGCAAACCGTGGTTGCTGTAAACCGTGGTTGGAGCAAACCGAGCAGCAGCAGCAGCAGCAGCAGCAGCATCAGCAGCAGCTGCAGCAGCAGACAAACAGCAAGCAGCAGCAGCTGATGATGAGTGGCATTAGTATGGGAAAGTGTTCATGAGGGCAGCTTGATGAGATGAGAAGCTCACGGCCATCTCCAAGAGCATCAAACCATGTCACACTCACCTGTGCGCAGGGGGGAGTTGAACCCCCGGAGGGGGGGTCCATAACATTTGATTTATATACAGTAATCAATTGTTTGAGGTCTGGAAGGCGCCGTCCACTGTCAAACAACTTGCTAAAGCAAGACCGACTCCAGCTAGCTGAGGCTGTGGCAACACCCACATTTATGCGTGCCCTTTTACAAAAAGGAAGAACAGTCCAACTACCCGGCGACCCTCCCGGACTTGGGCGACGATCAAATATATCAAATGAAGAAACCCACAAGAAGGAGCAGGTTCACTGAATTCATATTGGATGATGCACCTCCTCGTCACAGAAAATGAACACCTAAAAATGAGTCCAGCTTGTCGCTGAGCATCCTCAGAGATCTTTCGCAGGCTGCAGGCATGGTCGATTTCAGCCAGAACCACCTCTGGCCTCAAGATTCCATGATTCCGCACGGATCTACTGAATCGCTTGGCCAGGACATTCGCATCCTGTTCGCGAGACTCTGTACCCAAGGCTCCCTTGTAGCCACCAAGTCTTCGCGTCAAATATCTGTTTGCCAGCTCGAACAGCAAAGTGCACGGTGATTGTTCTTCCGAGCTTCGGTTGACTGCTTCTTCTTCTTCTTCTTCCAAATCTATGTCCTGCTCACCAGATTGAAACTGACCATCAGACTGGGCCTCATGATCCAATGTAGGTAAGCTGGGGCACGAGCCATTGCGCAAACTGACGAAGCCACTCCCGCCAGCCCCCGAAACACACAGTTTGTCAGGATGCGAACGCACCAGCGCCATCAACTTGCCATAGTTCTGTAGTTTTGGAGCTGGACGCAAAAGTTCTTTCAGAAATACTCCAAGCATACCGCTGTCCATCCGACCCGTCTCGAGCTGCTGCAAATGGCACACTATACAAAAAACTACGAACTCTTCCACGCTTGTAATGCTCACCGTCTGGAAGTCATCCTGCTCACCCTCCTGTCATCTCAGAGGTCACAATTTGAAGTCAATCGACGTTCCTCGCACTTTGGTCAACTTGAAAACTGGGCCAATCCTCAAAAATCAAACCAAACCAAGAATGCTTTGTGTCAGCCCGTCTCCTTGGAAAGGAATCTCAAAGTTTTAAGAACTTGGTCAGGGGATAGATTTCCCTGCGTGCAAAACTCTTCGAAGTCGCTGAGCGGCAACCTGCCGTCATGCACAGATTCAGGGTCAAGTACACCATTTCAGGTGTCACATGATACATCCTGCATAGGCATAGGCTTAGGCCAAACATTTTCTGAGACTGGTCGTCGAGACCAATAACAGAGTCCTGATAGAAAAACAATGTGAAACAGGTTTTACGTTCCCTTGTGTCTCGCAGCAGTGCCCGTGTCTGTTTCTACACTACAGTAGGCAGCAGATCCGGGGACTCTGCAGGGAGACCAATGACCAAGCCTCCAAAGCGCCAGCGTGCTTAGAACATACGTATTAGAAATATCTGCAGCAGCGCCCGTCCCTGTGGCAGCAGCGCCCTGTCCAATCAACCTGAGACAGCAGCACTATCCAGCAGCACCCTCTCCAAATCACCAGCTGCGAGCTCACCAATAAGAACCTCTATAGTTAGAGCTATGCTTCACACTTGGAGTCATGTACTTGGGAAAATGCATGAAAATCATGAACATGCACTAGCAAGTCCTGGCCATGGGCCACACCCCTCTTGATTCAGTTCTTGAATTTGACAGGAAGGTGCTCCACCGTACAAACGCATTTATGCCATGTCTCAGACTTGGAGAATGCAACTCTCAGCTGTCGTCTTGTTGTGGCTCCATGCATAGTTTGAACACATTGGTTGCAATTCATGGTCCATGATGCACCATGTGTTCATCCACCACCATGACCCAGATTGAATCCTGCAAAAATTGCCCTTGGCCCCCCAAAAGGAAATGCCATCCGGTATGGCAGCGCCACCAATCCCAAGGTCCGGCACAGCTGCAGATTTTGGACACTGCTGTGGCCTGCAAGCATCTTTCCCCTTGTTGATCATGAACTGCACCACCGAAAAATAGGCTTGCTCTTCTTGCGGTTTCTTTGGCTGAGTCCTTGGCTCAAGGTTTCTACTGTTCATCGCAAAAGCAAATATATATGCACTAAAATGCCATGGAGTTCCAATGTGGGCATTGCCCGAACTAAAGAGCAGAACATTACGCAAGTCGCATCGAAAGAATCCACGGTGAGCCTGTCTGGCAAGCATGACAATATGGAATCAATGGAGTCAATGGAGGCTCCTGAAAGGTGCATACAAGGTGCTGCTCAAGGGGATCTTCACTGCTGGGCCCGTTGACGCTGCCATCTTTGATGCTGCATCGCCAAACCCGCTGCGGCCTGATTGCAAGCTGAAATGCAAGCTGAACCTCTTGCGCACAGCAAAAGAGAAATTTCCGAATAGAACCTCACCTAATTACATGAAGAGTTGGGAAAAAGACACAATGAACACAACAGTCTTCCTTTTTTGCCATTCCAGCGGGTGCCTTTTGAGCCTTCGGATCCAGTGCCCTCGCAGGGCCGCTGCCATCAGAAAGGAGTGTGCGAGCTTGGCATGTCGTCGCCCAAGGCCATGCACGCCGCCAATGTCCTTGCAACAGTTCGGTCAACATCTGCTTCTAGCATCCTCTAGCTACGAAGGCATAAACAAACACCGACCAGCAATGCAGGATGCTGTTCTGTCCTGCGACTGCGCACGGGCCTTTAGCAAACCTGTTCGATGAGAACAAGGGTCGACGCAGCTCCAAGTAGATGCCCGCATGTCTGCTGGAAGAGCACAGTCTTAATCTCATGTGTCCTTTTTGCATGTGAGTTTAGCATATTAAGGTGGCTCACATCACTCCAGCCCTGAACAAAACAACCTCCATGACACGTCTTGTAGTCCTGATAAGTCATCAGTAAGACAACAATTAGTCATCGTAACATGCCCCCCATGGCACTCATCTATGATAACACAAGTCACAATCTGCTTCCCTGCTGCGTTGAGATCTGATAGCCTACGAAATGGTTGATTGCACAATGCTGCAAGTCTCAACATGTTCTTGCCCCATGTGCCCATAGCCATCGCTTCCATGTGCCTCGTCTACTCGCACAAGGCTGCATGAACCCAAAATATACAATTAGATGGAATGTTCAAAGGACCACAGAGTTTGGAACTGGTGCATGCCTGTTTTGCTCAGAGTTGCGCTTCCTGACAATTCCACATGGCTGGCCAGAACTAGTAAAAGCCCTGATGTCCATTGCCAAAGTTGACATCATTGGGATTCTGTCAAGGGACATTAGGAGGGTGTGTGTGTGTGTGCACAATGGAACCGTACCTTTGCAGCCCTTCACAGTTTTCTTCACAAGCCTTCGCAACAAACACTTCTGTGCAAAGGGCGCCTTCCCACCCAGAAGCTCGCATCTTATCAATCCCTTCGTGTGTCTATGGTAACTCCAGTACTGTGCGCTAGTGAGGCGCCTGTGAAGCGGGAAGGCGATCTGTAGCGACAAGTGTCATAAGCGTGTTGGGTGATTGGAGTTTTGCATCGGGAACTCGTTTCCGATCGCCCGGATCTGATGTCTTCAAATACCTCTAAATTGTTATAGCTGGATCGGGAGTCGAAGAGAGTCAAAATGATATAAATTAAAAATATGTCGAAGCAGCCGAAGCCACCATGCATTCGTACCGCAGCGACCCTTGCTCGAGGAAAAAGGAGCCCGCGCGATCTTGAGGAGAAGGGTGTTTTTCCGCAATTGGTAGCGGAGCCCGGGACCGAGCGGAGCCCGGGACCGCAAAGCGGGACCGGGCTCCCGCATGGTTCGTTCATTGTTGGTACCCCTCTAGGAAGAGGGTGTGATCGAAGCAGCCGAACGTTGATCCAGGGATCCTAGCATGTCGCTGCCTCCTCCACCAATGCTGCCGAGTCAGGTGCTGTGCGCGTTTTCAGCGGTGACACTGAAGATTTTCGTGAGTATCGTCGCTGGAAGACCTGGTGTCTCAACAAGATGTTGACCGTGGACAAATTGTCTGAAGCGGCTCGGGGAGCCTACATCATGACACTGTTGTCTGGCAAAGCCTATGAGACCGTGGAGCATTTAGATCCAGGTGATTACCAGAAGAAGGATGGAGATAAGCTGATTTGGCAATTGCTGGATGCAAGATTTCCTAAGCTTGATGCTGTTGACGAGTTGGGCAAAATCCTGTCGGAGGTCTTCTCGTTGAAGGCCCGGAGGGCGAAACCATGAAACAATGGTCCGCTCGAGCTGCTGAACTGTTTGATCGCTGCAATCGGAAGGCCGGGGTTTCATTCCCGGAGGAAGCAAAAGGCTGGATTCTGCTGAGTCGAGCCATGCTGACAGATGAACAGCGAGCAGTTGTTGTCTCTCGAGCGAGGAGACCTGAGAAGGGAATCGATCGCCTCTGCCCTACGATCTCGCTATCCTGATCTGGTGATCAAGAGGAAAGGTGCCGCGAGTGTGGAGGAGACCCTTGCTGTACAAGCCCCTGGTTCCCATGAGTTGACCGAGGAGCCAGAGTTTGAGGACATAGAGGATTTCCTTGCCGATCACGCCGGCCTTGAGACCCTTCACGAACAAGATGTTGCCGAGGTGCTTGCTGCCTCCTGGCGTGAGAAACGCCAACAGTTGAACAAACTCCAAGACTCCAAAAGACCCGGCAGTTCCGAAAGGCCAAGGATGTTCGTCGCTCGTTTCGAGTGGAGATTGAGGAGCTGAAGAAACAGACCACATGTAACAAATGTGGCAAACGTGGTCATTGGGCAAGAGAACGCCGCAGCGGCAACAAAGGCTCTGGAAAAGGAAATGCTTCATCTAGCACTTCATCCACCTCCGGTGTTGCTATGGTCGAACCCGAGCTTGACTTTGTTGCCATGGCCGCTGAACGGCCCACTTTGTTTGAACGGCTACATCTCAAAATGAGAAACAACCATGTTGCGAGTCAGCCCATCGAGATCATGCTGATTTCCAGCCCCGGTTTTGGCGTCCTGGAAAGTGGCCGTGGCCGCACAATTGTTGGGAAGGCAACGTTGCAAGAGTTTGAGAGACTTTGGAAGCAACAAGGGATCATGGTTCCACAGCCGATGTCCGAAGTCCATCAGTTCCGGTTGGCCATGGTCATGTGGAAACATCCACCGAATCGGTCTGTATTCCTGTATGGCTTGCTGGAAGACGAGGTTCCATTCGTGCCGCTATCGTGAGTGGATCTGCCCCGTTATTGATCAGTCGTACTGCATTGAAAGCCTTGCAGGCCTCCATTGATTTTCACAATGATGAACTGTGTGTATTCGGTGGAGCGATCATTCCGCTGAAGACCAGCTGGCCAATATGTGATCAATTTGATGCAGGATGGTGTCACACACCATTCGACACCACCATTTGAGGAGGTCATGTTGACGGAGCTTCCACCGTTTCCGTCCTTGCATGCGTCCGATCCAAGTTTGCCACCAGCCAAAAGTCCCGCCGAGGCTCAGGCACTGACCGATTCCTCTGAAGCAGGAATCACCTGCTTTTGATCAGGGCACCGGTGAGTCATGTCCTGAGACGCAAACCGATGAGCCGTCCACCAATGTCGCCGCCATGCGATGCTGGGTGCAAGAGGACAGTGCGATAACTAGAACACCATGGGTGTCTCCGTGTGAGCCGTCACGGCGGTCCACAAACGAGTTGTGTTTGATGCCATTTCCAACAAGGTCTTAGCTTCTCACGAGTTCCATACCTGACAAAATCAGAAGTTGAGCATCAGTCCACTGCCACAACACCCCGGACATGTGATAACTAAGTTCTTTCACTTCATGTGATAACTAGTTTCTGAGGCCGCGCCAGGTGAAACAAACAATTCGTAGATGCCCTCTGCTCATCAGGCTACACAGTTGACCCGACAGATCGGTTTGTGTCAAGAGGCTTTGTTGAGTCAAACCGAACCGGTCATGGTCCAAGAGGTGCTTTCCCCTCCTCGGTTTGCCTTAGAGGTCAAAGCACACGGCGTGAAAGCCTTTTCATATGATCTCAAGAACGGATTCGACCTCTCGACCCAAGCTGACAGGATCAAAGTTGCAGAAGCCTTAAGAACGACATCCTCCAGAGTTGCTCGTTCTGTGCCCACCATGCACAGATGAAGGGGGATGGTTTTTCTTGAACAGCTCAAAGTGGACTCGCATGCAATACTTGAAACGGGTTGCGCAAAGTAAGCTTTTCCATGAACAGGTTGCTAGAGGAAAACGTGCCTGTTTGAACACCGGTCATACCCTGAGGTTCAATCGTTGCGTCGCCGGCACTACACTGTGAAGCTTCACATGTACAGGTACGGAATGCAACTACCGGGTAGTGAGAGATACATTCGGAAGAGCACTCGCTTGCAGGTCAGGCATCTAGATACTATGCAGGCCCTGTCCCGATTGTGTGACGGAGTAGGTAAACATGAACATCACGTCGTTGCTGGACATTGGCCCGGCATTCCATCAGTCAGTCAATTTGCAGGACAGTATCCACCTCAGTTCGTGAAAGCAGTCCTTCATACGGTGCCTGCATTTCGTGACCGAGCAAGCCACAGGGCAGAAGTGCTCGAGGTCATTGAAGATGACCTGAAGTGGATGCCGCCGCCCGGGTGGCAGTTCGATCCGACGAGGAACTCAAGCCAGTGCTCATGAAACTGCACAAGAATTTGGGACATCCCCCAAATCATGATCTAGTTCGAGTGTTGAAACACGGTCAGGCCAGTGAACAAGCACTCAAGCTCGCCAAGGATTTTTCGTGTGATTTTTGCAAGAGTCAAAGTCGGCCGAGCATCCCACCAGTGGGACTTGATGTGAAGCTTTTGCAGGGCTGGAAGACTAATCAAAAGATCAAAGCAGTTAACTTGGTTTACTATGCCAGTGGCTTTCAACGGGTGGTTCCATTTTTTTGAACAAGAAACCTCAGCAGTCATTCGACAACTGTATCAAGATCATTGGGTATCATGGTTAGGACCTCCCAGAGAACTCATTCTCGACCCTGCGCGTACCAATCTGGGACCGTCGTTCGTCCCATAGCAGCAGGAGCACACTGGCAGCTGGGCACATGCACACATCAAGAATCAGATGCTCCAGGTACACGGTTTCTCACCTCATCAGTTCGTGTTTGGAAAGAACCCAAACATCCCTGACGATCATCCCAGCAACGAGTCCCATAACGGATGATGCTATCGCTCGAGCACAGTCCATGCGAACCTCTGCTCGATTGGCCCTAATTCAGACGCAGGACGACCGTGCGCTTCGTGTGTCTCTATTGGCAAGACCCCGCACCACGGTTGAGTTTGTTCCTGGGGACATGGGTGCATACTGGAGAAATCAAAAAATGGGTTCAGGTAGTCTTCAGACTGGAGGGAAATGGTGGGGAACTGCGATCGTCCTGGGTAAAGTGGGTCGAAATTATGTGTTGATGCATCGACGCCAATTGCAAGTCATCCGTTGTGCTCCAGAACAGGTTCGTGCCGCCACCACTGAAGAGAAGGTCACCCTTGGCACCCCTCAAGATGAATTGCGAGGAATCAAAGATATGATAGACCAGGGAAACATTAGAAGCCAACAGTTTCTGGAGCTTGTGGCCCAATCATATCCTCCCGAAGCTGAAGAAGTAAAGTCTCCGGAAGCCGAGCCTAGAATACAGGAACCTGCTGCTGTTCGAGCACCACCGGAGTCGACTGAAGACACTGCTCATCCACCGCCACTGCAACTGGGGTCCAAGATGTCTGACGAGAACGACGCGACAGAGAAAGAGGCTCACCAAGAGCTCCAGGACAACCCAGAAGA